GGCACTGAAAAAAGTTTAGGTTGGATATTAGAAGGCTCTTCCCCCAGAGGTGTTTGGAAGTTTAGGTTGGATATTAGGAGAAGGCTCTTCTCCCACAGGTGTTTGGGCACTGGAAAAAATTCAGGTTGAATATTAGGCCAAGGTTCTTCCCCCAGAGGTGTTTGGGCACTGGAAAAGGTTTAGGTTGGATAATAGGAGAAAGTTCTTCCCCCACACGTGTTTGGGCACTGGAAAAAGTTTAGGTTGGATATTAGGAGAAGGTTCTCCCCCCAGAGGTGTTTGGGCACTGAACCCCCAGGGCAGTGGTCACAGCCCCAAGGCTGACAGAGCTCCCCAGATAAGGGAATTCAGCACTGGCAGCACTGTGACAATGTTATTGTATCTTCCAAGCAATAGGATCTGTTGAAAGCATCCAAAAAGTACTTAGAAATGCACAACACACCAGAAGGGAAAGGATGAGGATGATCAGAGCCTCTCACCTTTCTCCAGCACAGCCGAGATGAATCCCTTTCCATGAAAACTTGTTCAGGAGAGGTTTTAAAAAAACAAGCAACCAACATAAGACACCAGTAATTAAATTATGATGAAAGGAGCACACATCAATCTGCTAATGCACTGGTTGTACCTTTATTGTTTCACCTCGTTCACTAACAGTTCAGTGGTGCAAGGTTACCATACACAGTTAGATATCTGCATTGCACACCTAAGGCTATACAGCAAATGGATCAGAATTAGTACAAATACATGAACTATATTTACATTTTGTATACTCAAGCTCCAAATCTCAGATATATTTACAAAATAAAATAAGAAATGAAAACCTGAAATCAATGTACAGTGTTGCTGAGACACTCCTTCGCTGGGATGAAATCAGTTTGCAGAGAGGTTTGTTCAAGAAGGCCACTTATACAGCACATCCTTGTGTTCCTTGTGTACAGAGAGACTGACAGGGACATGGGGACTGTGATCCCAAGGGATTGTTCCAGTGCAGCAGCATGGCTGAGGTCCAAATTCAAACCAACTGCGCACGGAGCGTGGACAGAGTGGGGAATTGAGAAGTGATCCTGGGAAGTGCTGATCATTCCACTCTCTGCTGCAGCCTGTGGTTTCCAGGCAAAGCAAGAGGCAGTTCAGCACCACTCAGGATCAGGCCATTAACTTGGCAACATTAAGAATTGAAGACTTAGGACCTCCACACCCTCAGTTTTCTGAATACACAGCTGAGCCTGGCAATGAACACCTGTTCCAAACAGCATTGGACACAACCATCTGGTTAGTGTTGGACTAGCTCTGATTTCACAAACACACACACAGTGCATAAATGGCCTTCTGAACAAAAAAAAAGTCAGTCCTGTTCTTGAACAGCTGATGGTTTT